CTCCATTCCCTCAGGGTCCATCACTGTTCTCTCCTGAGTTAATAACCAATCTGCCCCCTGCTCTCCCAGGGAAACAGAGCCTTTGTGCTGACAGCTCCTTCCTCTCCTGCCCCACTCTGAGCCCTAGGAGATGTTCTGGTTATGCAGCTCCCCCTTCCCCAAGCCCAGCCTGTCCTTCAGTGGTCACAAGGCCACAGAAAAGACTCAGCTCTGTTCCTAAGAGGAATCCAGCGGGCAGAGCCAGGGAGAAACCTCCTGCCTGACACTGTGACACAAATGGTCCTGTCCCCAATGCTGCAGGGGCTCACTGCAGGAGAAGGGGTCCGACAGCCACCTTCCCCCGAAGAAGTGTGCTCCCAAATCAGTCCTTGCCTCAGGCCAGCATGGACTCCTGGCTGGCCTGGCTGTGCCCTGTTTGGGGCAGGGGCAGCAGGCAGGCCCATGCTCACCTGGAGCCCGTTTGGGGACAGGGCCACACTCACCTGGAGCCCGTTTGGGGACAGGGTCACACTCACCTGGAGCCCATTTGGGGACAGGGCCACACTCACCTGGAGCCCATTTGGGGACAGGGCCACGCTCACCTGGAACCCGTTTGGGGACAGGGCCACGCTCACCTGGAGCCCGTTTGGGGACAGGGCCACGCTCACCTGGAGCCTGTTTGGGGACAGGGCCACGCTCACCCAGAGCCTGTTTGGGGACACGGCCACGCTCACCTGGAGCCTGGCTCTGCAGCAGCAGAGGCATTCCTGAGCAGCCTCAGCACTTGCTTCAGCTCGTGCCTGCAGCATCCTGGCAGCAAGAGGAGCTCTGGCATGGCAGCTATTAGAGTGGGTGGCAGCAGATGGTGAAAGCAGAGGGGATAAGAAAATAAATACAAAGAGGCTATCTTGAGGGGAGAAGTCACCACATTAACACTCTGTTGCTTACACAGTGTCTTCTCCCAAAGTCTAAACAAACACTGCTCAGCTCCTGGTGCACAGGGAGCTGAGGGAGGGGACAGGGCTGAGCACACACAGCACTGCAGAGCCCTGAGAGGTGCTGCAGCCCCAAACCCTGCTCAGCCCTCCATGGCCCAAATGTCTGCAGGGCCATCTCACCCAGAACAGGAAAAGCAGCCAGGCAAAGAGCCTGCATGTCCTGCTACACACAGGTTACACCAAATTTAGGGAACTCCATCCTTCCAGCAGCCTGTGTGGACACAAGAGCACCACATCTGCACAGCTGCTCATGGGGAGCAAGGCAATCCCTTTCCCAGCCCTCACACAGCCTTGGACAAAAAACTACAGGAAAAGGAATATTATTTAAGGAGTTCAAAGCTTAATCCTGCTGCATGCCATCTGCTCAGACTGGTTACCCCTGACACTGCTGGTGCACCTGTAAATACACTGTCAAGTGTCAGTAAGGTGGCAAATACCAGAGCTGGCTTGGAGCTCTCTATCAAAGTGTTCACCCAACAGAAAACCCAGATTCTGTAAGATAAGAGAGCCCACACCAGGCTCTTCCATTAATCCCAAGCTCTGCAGTCTGCAGCAGGACCATTTCCGCTTCTCTGGCCACCAGCAGCAGTGGGAGAGGTCTTTCCCTCCAATTCTCCTCCTGAGAGATCTCCAAGGCTTCAGCCTTGGGAAAAACAACCAAAACTGGCGAGAGCCTGGCTCACCAGGCTGCTCCACACACAGAGCACAACTCACTGCCAGTCAAGAGCCCCCAAAACCTGCAGCCCTCATCACCACCTCCTACCTGGGTCTGCCAGAGTGCCTCAAGTGTCTGTCATTCACAAAGAATCTCTTGTGGTCCCTTCATCTGCATCCCACCACTTGAGCATCTCTTGTTTTTGGGCACAGGACATCCCAGCCTTGCTCAGGCAGTTCCACCTCCTTCTCCTGGCCACATCTCCCCTCTCCTGCTCTTGGGAGCTCCAGGTGCATAAAGGAGGCTCTGCAGGGAGCCCCAGCAAGGAGGTGAGAGCAGTCCTTAAACAGCAAGGGCTGGCTCGGGCAAAGGCAATTTATTATGTTAAACACGTTATTAAAGGATCTAAAACAACAGAGCAAAGATGTTCCAAGAAAGGTTTGAACTTCCCCAGCAAGGGGCTCTTGGGACTCCTCTTGTTAATACTGAGCAGCCTTGTCTGCAGCTGAGCCTGCAGTGAGCAGAAATGCCCCTCAGCCCCCGTGCAGAGCTCGTTTCACTTAAATCAATACAGCCATAGGGGAGACTTGAGGAAGCAAAGCTATTAGTGGGACCACAGTTAATTCTGGGGGAAAGAAACAAGCAACAAAAGCAATAAAACTGACTGATTGCTTATGCAGACACTGTAACCCTTTCCTGCCCAGGTCCTGCAGCACAGCAGAGGGGAGGATGCTCGTTGGGAAAGCCCTTCCTGCTTGGCATGGTCCCAAAGGGCAGCTGCAGGGCACAGGGCTGTGCACAGAGCTGGACAGGGGGCTGGGAGAGGCAGGGCTGCTCTGGGGAAGGAAAGGGACATTCCAGGAGATCCCATGAGCATGCAAGAGCTCAGCAAAGCAGCTCTTGGCAGCAGGACTGCAGGAAATGGGACAGCACGTGGTGGCTCCAGCTCTGGGTGGGAATCACCAGCAGCAGCACAGCTTTGGTGAGCAGGAGAGCCCAGAGCAGTGCAGGGACATCCCCTCCCAGCCCCAGCTGTCAGCACCTGAGAGGGGCCACCTCTGCCACAGCAACACCACACCAGGAAACCACCCAGGCCCACATCTCCCTAATCTCACACCTCTCTTCCCCACACATCTCCCTGTTTCTTCTGCCCCCTTAGATGATGCTGGCTGTAGCTGTAGGCATTAGGTGGGAAGGTTTTTCCTTGGTTTTTCCTTCTGAGCACCTCAGACAAGTGCAGGAGCTTGCAGAGAGGCTCTGCAGCAGCAGCAGCAATGTTGGCAGCAGTGCTGAAGGCAGCCCAGGGCCTGGGTGAGTGCCCGGTGCCCAGAGCAGCACGAGGGGGGAGAGCTTGCCAGGTGACAGCTGCATAGGAAATCACTGAGAAGATGTGGAGATAGAGCAAAGCAAACTGACTGAAATCAACACCAACATGAGCTGAAGGTTCTGCAAGCTGGTGATACAGAGCCACAGAATGGTTCAGGTTGGGAAAGGTCATTAAGTCCAACTGTACAGCCAGCAGCATCACCATGTTCAGCACTGACCCATGTCCTCAGGTGCTATACCAACACTTTCAGGGATGCTGGCTCTACCATTTCCCAGAGAGCCTTTTCCAGTGCTTTACAACCCGTTCTGTGAGAAGCTTTTCCTCATACCTAATCTAAACCTCCCCTGGTGCAACCTGAGGCCATCTCCTCTCGTCCTGTCATTTGTTTCCTTGGAGAACAGACTGACCCACACCTGGCTCCAACCTTCTTTCAGGGAGATGCAGAAAGTGAGAATGTCCCCCCTTTTCTCCAGGCTGGGCTCTCCCAGCTGCTCCTCATCAGAGTTGTGTCCAGACCTTTTCTCTGGACACGCTCTGCCCCTCAGTGAATGTATCAGCATTTCTGAAAGGGATTTTTTTTTCTGCCTCTAAAATAGCAGGAATAGGTTCACCCACAGCTGCTCCATCTGCAGGCCTGTCCTTGCACTGTCACAGGCCACCACAGCACCCTGGGACTCTCAGCTACGAGACACACAACAGCCAAATTGTAGCCCCACATTTCTCTCCACAGAGAAAAGAAAGGCACAGTTCTTCCCAAGAATATTTCTTGGTTTCACATTCTCTGAACCCAAAGAAAGGGAAAACAATTTTTGTATCATTTGCTGTGCCTGTGTTTGTGCCAAAGCAGAATGCAATATGGAGATTGTTGACCCAGAGTGATGGTGTTTTGTTTCCCTGGCCTGTCAGGCCCAGGCATATGTGTGTGTGTGTGTGTGTGTGTGTGTGTGTGTGAGGACTGCCAGGACAGTCACGAGATTCTGGGCGGTGTGTGCAAGCTTGAATGCTTGGCAGATTCCGTTTAGATGTAATGTAATATAGTGTAATATAATATAGCATAATACTGTATAATAAAATAATTAATTAGCCTTTTGATAGTAACCATCCAAAATGAAACAAATGTGTTCAGTACAGGTGTCACTAGAAAATTAAATATCAAAAGCCAAACAGAGGTAGAAATAAATTTTGAGAAGACATCATGGGAAAATAAAGGATCAAAAAGGACAGCATTGATAGGCAGGAAAATTTTGCTATAGCCTTCACTAGTATCAAAATTCTACCCTGTCACAGACTTCTTTTATGAAAAATCTTTTCCTTAGGATTTTTCCTCCTGAGAAGCTGACAGGCCTCAGGAACAAAATGTAAACAATGGTTATCTGCTGCTGTGGAATGCAACAGGTGCACCTGTGATTGGTCTCATGTGGTTGTTTGTAATTAATGGCCAATCACAGTCAGCTGGCTCAGACTCTGTCCAAGACAGAAGCTTTGTTGTCATTCTTTCTGATTCTATTCTTAGCCAGCCTTCTGGTAAAACCTTTTCTTCTATTCTTTCAGTATAGTTTTAATGTAATATATATCATAAAATAATAAATCAAGCCTTCTGAAATATGGAGTCAGATCCTCGTCTCTTCCCTCATCCAAGAACCCCTGTGAACACCGTCACACTACCCTCACCACAAAATCCTAGGAATTATAAATCTTTTCTTGATGATATTCTATCTCTTGATCAGGGTCCCTCCTTATAACATGAAAACTCAGCCTGAAATTTGGGAGAGGGTAGGGTGGGATCTGTGAGGAAGCCAACTCTTACACAGTGACTTCAGCACTGCATTTCTTGGTTCATACTGGGCCTCCCTTTTGATAAGATGGAGTCACATGAATCATTCTCTCCCCTTGTTGGGCATTACCAAACACCTTCAAAACGGGGAAACAGCCCCAAAGCAAGCCTGGCAGTGAACAGCCCACCCTCCTGGCAGTGCCAGAGCCATTCCAGAGCCATCTGAGCTGCCTGTCCCTCCTGAGGGCTGCAGGGAGCACCACTGACCTCCGAGGCCGGGCCGCAGGCGGTTGTCGTAGCCGTCCAGGAGCCGGTCCAGGATGCGTGTGAAAATGGTGATGTTGTCCTTGCTGTCATCCACCACGTCTGAGACGTGCTTCTGAGAGAGCCTGGCACGGGGAGAGGGGGGAAAAACCAGAAGAGAGGGTTAGAGGGGAAATCTACACTGTGTGTGCTCCCAGAGCTACAGGGAGGGAAGGGCCTGAAGGGCAGGATGGGATTCAGGTTTTGGTGAATTTGTGTGTTTGCAGGACTCACCACAGGGCATGGGCCTGAAGGGCAGGATGGGATTCAGGTTTTGGTAAATTTGTGTTTGCAGGATTCACCACAGGCCATTTCTGATCAGCTCCCCTCTGTCCCCACAGAGCTCCTCACTGTCCCCATCACACCTTTCCCAGAGCTACAGGGAGGGAAGGGCCTGAAGGGCAGGATGGCATTCAGATTTTGGTAAATTTGTGTTTGCACACACCACAGGGATTTCTGATCAGCTCCCGACTGTCCCTTCCCCTTCTCTCCCACCTACAGGGAGGGAAGGGCCCAAAGGGCAGGAGGGGACTCAGGTTTTGGTAAATTCCTGTGTTTGCGGGACTCAGCACAGGGATTTCTGATCCCCTCTCCTCACTGTCCCCATCCCACCTTTTCCAGTTACAGGGAGGGAAGGGCTTGAAAGGCAGGATGGGACTCAGATTTTGGTAAATTCATGTGTTTACAGGACTCACCACAGGGATTTCTGATCAACATCAGCTCCCTTCTGTCCTCACAGAGCTCCCCACCTTTCCCTGCCCAGATCCACCACGATGGGATCCACCACTGCACCACAGGGAGTGGTTTAGGAGCCCTGTTTTAACAGGAATGCCCCAGCATCCCTTGCCTGCCCCTAAAAATGGGCATTTTCTGAGCAGAGGCCGTGGGAAGCTGAGTTATTGAAGTGCCACTGTCTCCTTACAGGCAGCAAGGAAGAAGTGACACCAGGTATTTGGCAGATTGAGCCATTTCAAAGATCTCTGCCCCAGGGAAGAGGTGAGACAGAAAAATAGGAATTCAGTAAACAGGCTTAAAGCCTCATCATTAAAACACTTAGTGAACCATCCCTGCAGTTTGCTGAACTTTTCCCTGCTTATAAAAACAAATGAGCTTCCACATTCCCATCTCTGCTCAACACAAGAAGCCTGGAAGCCCCCAAACAAGATGATTTCCTCAGAACACATTCTGCCCCAGGTGGAATAAAACAAGGAATAAATTCCTCTAAAAAAAGCACATCTCACTGAACAAAATCTTCAATGCGGTTTTGCAAACACAAGGGGCTCAAGTAATACATTTGCATTTTGTGTCTCCCTTTCAATCAACAGAAAAGGAGATTGTGAGTCCTTCTGGAACCACCTGCCTCTAAAAGAGATTTCAGATGGCACAGAGCAGCAGTGCTGTGGCTTCAAGCACAGTTTTCCCCAGCAAAAATAGCTGTTAGGACCAAAACAAATGGAAAGGCAGAAGATTAAGTAACAGAAAACAAAAAGAAAAATCTATAGAGATGAAGAGTTTTCAAGGAAGATGGAAGAGGAAATAACAGAGAGACAAATGAGGCAAAAAGAAAGATTAAGAGGCACAAACAGGCAGCGAGGTGGCTGAAAGAGCCCAGCCAGGCAGGGGAAAAAGGCAGCTGAAGCAGAGGGATGCTCAGCAGCAGCTACAGGAGCCCTCTGGGAGCAGGGAAGCTCTGACTGGTAAATAGGCACTAAATGGAGAGGTGAATAACTGGGGAGCACTGGCCAGAGGAACAGCATGAATGCCACAGACCAGAGCTGGTGGACATGCAAATCATGGTTCCAATTACCAAGGACAGCACCTGTGACCATCAGAAATGTAATGCTGGGGGAAGAAAAGCCCCTAAATTGTCACTTTCTAACACTTCTGCCCCTTTCCTTCCCACCCCAGCCTTATGTCCTTTGATGTGTGGCAGCCACTGGTTTCAGCATGCATCATGAAATAACTGGGGGGAAAATAATAAAACTGACAAAAAACTACAGAAAAATGGATATTATTTAAGGAATTCAAAGCTTAATCCTGCTGCATGCCATCTGCTCAGACTGGTTACCCCTGACACTGCTGGTGCACCTGTAAATACACTGTCAAGTGTCAGTAAGGTGGCAAGTGCCAGAGCTCTCTGTCAAAGTGTTCACCCAACAGAAAACCCAGATTCTGCAAGACAAAAGAAGTGCAAAGAGTATTTCCTAGCAAAAGAGGAAAAATTGAGAGCAGGGTATGGGTACTTCTAGAGTCAGGTTGAATCAATACTATTTAGAATGCTGCAGTTAATTGAAATATTCCCTTTTGGGCAATTCTGACATTAATTTTCATTGGTTTCATTGACCAAACACTCTGGGAAATTTCCTTTCAAGTACCTGAGGTCTGCTTCTCCAGGGGCACATCCCACCTCTCACAAGACCACTTGGCCTCTGTTTTTTGGCAAAGCAACACCTGGAGAAGTGGTAAAGCCAGGAAGCTGAGCCTCCAGGATGGTAACAGAGTGCTGAAATTCCATTTACCATAGGGTGAAGCATGGTTGGAGTAACACCTGACCCAGCCCTAATGCAACCTGCCAGATCCAAACATCAAAACATGTCTGGCATTACAAACTGCATCACAGCCTCCAAGATTTCCAGCTGAAACCAAACGCTGGTTTTGGCTTTTCATCTGGACTTGAACTCCCTGCAGGTAAGAAGAGTTTTGAGAAATTTAACAAATGCCTGCAGTAATTAGTGGGGTTTCAATTGTACCAGCTTTCAATAGATGTCATGGTTAAAAGCAATCTGTCCCAGTGTCTGCTGATGAGTATATAACCATCTATAACTTATGAATAGCTAGCATGCTCATGAAAAGCTCATTCATTAATGTTTTATAAGCTATCTTTAAAAATTACCCATAATATAAAGAGCTAGAGGATGGATTTTTGTGAAGGAACTCCTGGCGGAGGCTCAGCGGTGATGGGAAAAATGAGTTTACAAATTTCAAAGCTGTTTTACTTAGCCTGACATTTGAGGGTTTGACTTCAATGTGAGCAGTGTGGGATTCACTTGGGAGGTGCTGGGGGAAGAGCAGCGTAGGCAGGACAAGGGAAGGTGCAGCAGGGGAGAGGCAGCAGCACCTGGCACCTGATTTGGGCTAATAATTCCTTTGCCAGGAGAGCTCTGGGCTGCCTCACCTCACCTCAACATAAAGCTAAAGCTGCCCTTTAGCAAGGCATAAAGGGACTGCAAAGAGATGTGCAGGATCAAGGTTTTAAAATAATTAAAATCCTCTAGGCAGGAAGGATGGAGGTTTACAGCAAATTTAATTAGGATAGGCTTGAGGAAAAGTCATTACCTTGCCACCTGTGCACAGGCTCTCTGGGGAGCTGTGCCACATCAGCACAGGGGTGCCCTCACACACAGTTTGGGAAGCAAATCCTCCTGGGGATCAGTGCTGTGAGCAATCCCTGTGTGGCAGGGGAGAAGCAGCACCCTGAATACAGGGTGGGGAGGAAAAGGCAGCAGGGAGGAGGACAGAGCTGCAGGCACAGGGCATGGGGACAGCCCCCAGAACCATTGTGGGGATGGGGTGAGAGGCCAGGGCTCACTGTGCCCGTGCAGGGTCAGCACTCACAGGGCAGGGCAAGCTGCAAAGTCAAATCCAGGCAGACAAAGCAGAGCAGGGCAGGAGGGGCAGCACCAACATCTTTTCATGCACGAAGATCCTTGATCCCTTCTGGACTTGTAACTCAGCAGACAACATTTCAGTGTCCATAACTGGCACTCTAAAGGCTTTTCTAAATGTTTTATAGAAGTCATGTATTATTTGCATTATTTCTCTCTCTCTGTGCAGAGCTCCTCCCTCCCCACATCTGCATCGAAGTGCTCCCCAAGCTCACCCAGCAAAGACCCTGGTGGGATGCAGTCATGGACTACAGGCTTTCAGCCCCTCCAGACAGCTCCCAGAGGCTGGGAAGGTGAGGCTGGCAGCAGCACTCTCAATGCCAGGACAGCCAGAGCACACCCAGGCACAGGAGAGCAGCCAGGGTGGCAGAGAACCCCAGTGCTGCAGCAGGTCAGGTGTGCTGCCCGTGAGTCATTACACCATTAACAGCCAAACAGACGAGGCAGATTGATTTTCTGCTCTTGAAAATAGTATTCAAATATTAAATGGGGTGGGGGGAATCTCTCTTCCAGGTTAAAATTCAGGCAAGCAGAGTCCTTGCCCAGAATGAATTGTGAAGAGGCCAAATCTGAAAATAGGTTTTGTTGCAAAAAATTGCTGACAACTGATCTCAGTGACAGCACCTCAAATAATGCCAGTGTGAGCCATGTTAGGGACTGAACAGCCCCTGGGGGGAAGGCATGGGGATGGGGACATGGGGAGGAGGGTAAACACAGCAGAGACCCTTTAGTGCTTTGCCCTGGACTGCTTCATACACATCCTGACCCCGAGATATTTAAGTTCAGTAAGAGGACAGCAGCCTTGGCCAACAGCTCAGCACTCACCACCTTACCCAGCATCAGCAGGGAGAGCCAGGAGCAGGAGCAGGACTCCAAGGCTGAGGAGGGAGAAGGGCCCCATTCCCGGGAGCCTGGGTGCCATGGTGGCAGCGTGCAGCCACTGCAAAACGAGCCTCCAAACCTGTCAGGGAGGGACAGAGGGCAATGACAGGAGAGAAAACAGATTTCAGTTACTAGGGAAAAGCAAACAGTTCAGTTTTTCATGCTGGACAGCTGCCAGTATTTCTGGGGTCCTGCATTTGAGATCTCAGGAAACCCTCAGGAACCAAAGGCAGCATCGTGGGCTGGAGCACTGCTGGCCCTGGGCAAGCTGCATCATGGCAGAGCCAAGCAGACATTAAACCCTCACCCCACCATCACAGCAGACCCTGCAGCTCCCCAATGCTTCAGCCCACTCTCCAAAGTGGTAATCCCACTCTCCAAAACAACCACACTGGCTCTTCCTCCACCTCACCCTGCAGGCTCAGCCACAAGCTCCCCTTGCAGCAGTGCCAGCTCACCTGCTACCTTCTGCCACCTCGGTGACACCCTCACAGCAGAAGCACTTGGGAAGTCTCAAGACCCATTTTTTTTCCCCCCAACATTTTTTCTAGACAGTTAAACCCTCATTTAATTCTGATAATGACGCTGCCAGGAATTATTATTAAGTTTGACCACCGAGACCCAAGGTGGTGGGAGCGCTCGTGTGGTGATACCACACTTAGTGGTGCTCAGAGTTTTCATTAATGCTCAGTTTTACTTTTATTGTGATGTTATTGCACATTTAACTGCCTTCTCCTTTTATGTATCTCATTATGTTGATGCACCTTAGAGCAGCACTGCCAAGCAACAGCCTGGATAAATAGAGCTTGTCGTGACATCTCCCCCTCACAACGCTCCTGTCTGGCACCCAGGGGGTTCAGCCAGCCCCACTCTGAGCCCCCAGAGCCAGCAGTGAAGGCTCCAGTCAATCTCAGCAGGCAGAAACCAGGGCAAGGTGCTGGTGCCAGCCAAATGTGACCTCTGGGTTTCTCCACTCCACACTGCAGAGCCTCAGACAGCTCCCTCCAGCACTGAGGGAGGTGCTGGCTGCACTGCCAAAGCCCAGCAGCTGGATGGCAATTCTGGCCCAGGACGAAGGGACAGGGGAACACTGTGGGTGCTGCCAAGGAGCAGGGGATTCTGCACAGGGATGTGGGAGAGGAGAGCTCCCAGCAGAAATCCTGTGCAGAGGGCTCAGCCCAGCAGCATGGAAACACCTGGAGAGCACACATGTCCTCAGTGTGCACCTGGGGAAGAGGCACAAAGCCAGGCTGGCTGGTTTGTTTGATCACTTTTCTGCATTTAGCTGGTCTCCCCACAGCACTGGGGCCCTGCAGTCTCCCTGGAGGCTGTGCCTGATCCTTGTTTTTAGCTCCAGGAGCACAGGAGCTGCCAGGCAGGCAGAAGGTAAGAGCCAGACACCACCAGTCCTTACCACCCACCTCAGCTTTGTTCTGGCAAGACACTCACTAACAGCAGGCACAAGGGGAAAAAAACCCAATCAACCAACCAACCAACCAACCAACCCAGCATTTGGCCCTAGTTACCTTTACCTTCCTCCCCGTCAGCCACATAAAATCCTTGCAGAAACGAATGCATGGATTCATTTAGGCACAGTGTGCTCAGGCTTTGTTCATCAGGATTCCACCTGAATGCCCCCTAGGGAAGCTCATCCTCTGGCATGGACACTCCCATGGCTCTGGTGAGAAAAGTTCTCATTTGGGAGGCCTCCTCTGGCTCTCCCCACTTTCCAGCTGAGAAGGGACACACACAGTCTTGGAAATTCAAGTATTTGATGATGAAGCACAAATTAACTGGCTGAACATCTGTTCTGTGGGAAATTCCAATGTTTCTGGGAGACTTCGTTCCAAATCACAACAAGGACAGATAAAATGTTGATTTTTTTTCTTACAAGGCAAATTCAGAACTTCTTCAATAAGCAGCTTCTCAACAGATTTCCTTTCAACTTTTCCCTTTCATTTCATTTCAACTTGCATATTATACAATAGTATTTAATTGATTTTTTTTCCTAAGGCAATTTCAAATACTAGCCAAAAGCAAAAAAAAAAAATTATAAAAAAATAAAAGAACCATTGCTGTCTATCCTCTCCCCTCCCTAAAACACCACTGAAAATTTTCACTGAAATAAACATTTTCCCATTCAACTGCTGATTTTGAAAAATGCTTTGTTTGGGCAGAATTTGCACAGCCAGCAGACTCTGACCAGGGATCCCCACACAAATGAGGACACTGGATATGCAGCAGGTGCCTCCTGGCTCTGCAGGAACTGTTGTGGCTCCTGTAGAACATTTGGGACCATCTTTATCAGATTAGGTGAAACCATGGGTGGAGCAGATAATGCACCAAAAGTGGAAAAAGTGAAGCTAAAAAAAGTATTAGAGTATTAGAAAATGGAGGAACAAGGTAATTTGGAGGGTCAGGAACAGTGACAAAATCCAGAACACCTTCCATGTGGATGTGTCCTGTCTGTGCCAAGAAGCTTTTAACAACTGCATTTTCACCAAACCTTGTTCATAGAGTTTTCCTTCAATATTATGCAGAGATGAAGATTCATTTTATAGTTCTGATGAGGAAGATGCTAGCCAACAGGGCTAGCCAAGGACAACAGAAGTGCTCAAATTAAATCAAATTTGTGCTTAAGTCTCATTTGAAACATCAGAACCAGCTCTACATACCTGCACTGGAGCAAAATCTGTTTTCACTACTTGCCCAAGCAGACATTTTGCCAGTCACATCTCAGTTTGTTCACACTGAGAATGTCCCCAAAATGGGGCTTTGCTGTGGCTGCACTCAGGGAGGACAGCCCAGCATGGAGAACAGCCTGGCACTGTTTCCTACCACTTCCCTTTGGTCCTTGCTTTGTTTTTTCCTTGGGAAGCTGGACAGAAGAGCCTGCAGGGTGTTCTCCTCGTTCTGTGGCTACTTCACACTTGGAGATGGATTGAGAAGCAGAGCCAGCCCTGCTCATCACCCTGCTGCCAAGCAGGAAAGTGTAAGGGAATACGAAGAGGATTTGCAGAGGAGATTTCAGCATTCAGACCGTTCAGGGATCACCCAAAGGCCCCACAACCAGACCCTAGTGTGGTTCCCATGGCACAGCAGCTCTCAGCATCACTTCTCCCCTTTCCTGGGGCTCCTGCAAGCCCAGCCACAGGCACACACAGGAACCCAACCGGTGCAAGTGCTTTAGGAACCCAACAGCTTCTACTGGCCACACAGCCTCCCTAATAAAATCAGTTTGTAAAACAACTCTCTAGGTTTCAACAGCCCAGTAACCGAGCTCCTCAGGTTTTAGCACTCAAGAGTAGCTCTAGGAGAGGGTGCTGATGGCAGAGCAGGCACAGGGGTCCCGCTGTGCCCAGGGAAGGGATGGGAACACCCACGAGAATGCCTCAGGAAAAGCAGCCCTGGAGCTCCTCCAGCCGTGCTGGGGCTGTCCCCGTGCTATGCTGGGCTATTCAGCTGTCACTTCCCACTCAGGAAAGCTCTGAATCAGCCAACGCCTTGATCAGAATACCTGCAGGGATCCCTGATCCTCGGGAAGGGGAGGGAGGATGTAGGCAACGTGCATTTAACTGCACGGAACCAAGCGAGGGTTTGGGAACGTTAATTGGCTGTTAACAGCCTCAAAGAAGGAAAAACACCCGAATCTCTTACTAGGACTTGCTGAAGGGAAAACTGCACAGTATCCATGAAGAAAAAAGTGCAACATACCAACCTTTTCAAGCTCAGAAAAGAGTGGTACAACTCTTTAGACTGATCTCCTCTTCCATATGAGTTAAAGAACATCTTCCCCAGAGCTCGTGGCTCTGCTCTGTGTCTGTGCAAGATGGAGTCTGGAGGGATGGTGTGTGTTCAGAGCAGCTCTGCACTTCTTCCTCCCTCCATCTGTCCACTGCTCACTCCTTAATGGCACAGTTAGCAAATGCTCTCAGCACTAATTGTGCAGTTGCTGGTAACCTCCACAGCTGAATCCAATGCAGATTTCCTAAGAGCTCTGCTGACACCCTGCAGCTGGAATCTAGCGATACTTGAAGTTCACAACACAGGGAATTTGGCAGGTGTCTTTATGAGCACACACCTAAGGGCTTCACAAACATTCCCACTCCTCTCCAAGACAATCTGTCCAATCTCCAGAGCATCACAGCACAACAACACTCCAGGGAAATACAGTCTTCCTGTTGGATGTGCTGTGAACAAGGAGTTGGAAAAGCTCCCTTCCTTCCTTCCCTCATGACAGCAACATGCTCCAGACCCTGCTCCCACTGAAGTGGGTTTGGGAACCAAAAAAAGTGCTGGAAGCTTCCAAAGCAGAAAGGTATCATAGTAGCTGTGCCAACATTGGGTACCTCCTGACTTGGCACACTGAGACTGATCTTCCCAGAAATCCTTATTCTAGAAACCATTAAATATTCTGAAGTGCCTTCCTAGGAAAGAGTGATTAGCACAGGCTTACTGCTGACAAGGGAGACACAGAACTCTGGAGGTGGAGACTGAACAATAAAATTGCAAAAACCCTGAGAGAATGGCCAGAGGGAGGGATACTGCAAGCACCAGAAAAGCAATGCAGGCAGAAGAGGCCCATAAACCCACCTGGGCACATCTGTGAGAGTCACATGGGCATCTCACCCAAATTACTGCCTCCTGGGGAGATGCACAGCCAGGGAACCATCTGATTCACTCAGCAATAGTCTCACCATGCAGACAGCATTCAGAAACCAGCCCAAAGGACAAATTCACCCCAGCACTGCACCCAGAGATGCTGTCCACCTGTGGTGTCATTGGATCAGCATCCCCACGTGCCATGCATGGACACCAGTGGCATCAGCTGGAGGGGTGAGAGCACTGGCAGCTCCCACTCAGCCCCCAGGACCTGCAGCAGCTGCACATCTTTTGTCAAAACAGGTATCTCAGGGAGGGCTGTGCACTGAGGAGCCGATGCTGGGAGCCAGCTGGAAATCACACTGGGAAGAAGAGGCAGCTTCAGCCCAAAAGCTCAGATCAAAGCACTTCTGTGCAGGAAGAAGAGGGGGATCCACACCCCGGTGGTGTCAAGCTCCATCTGCCCACCTGCACGGC